CTTCAGTTAGAACCGCTTCACTAGACACACCGTTCGCGCAGTCATTCTTGCACTTGAGTGGTCTATGTGACTTTGTTGAGCTATAATCGCGTTAGATCTCTGATTATGGATCTATCTCGTCTAGCTCTCTCTTGAAGACATAAAAAACAGGGGATGGCTTCTATTAGAATATATTCATGAGTGTTTTGATTAGTTTCCCTTGATGAATTATTGAGATCTTTGCATATCTCATGGATTAACTTGTTCAAATCAAAAGGGTTTCAATAGATCAACTTTTCTAGCTTTTTACAGGTAGATTCCAGATTGTTGGAACTTGTGGATTCAAGTTCATTAATGGGTGAATCCTAGAGGAAGAGTGGGCTTTGAAGATTGAGAAGAGTCTTTGGGTGATCTTGTGTGGATTTATAAGTGGGTAGACTTGGTGAGATCACTTGTAATCTTCATTCTCATCTTAGTGAATTTATTCACTTTTTTGGGTTGTGATTTTGTTTTATCACAATTGGAGGAGTTCAATTGTGATTTTTTTTTCTACGATAAGTTAGTTGTGTTCAATTGTGAATTGCTCGAATTCAATCTAAATCAATTCCTCTTGATTTGTTGATTTAGATTGAATTTTTGTTTGGGAATTTGAGAAATTGACTGTAATCATATATCACTAATCCCTGCTTAGGTTTTTTCAATATATAGGATATTAATAAAATACTTGAGTGTCTATCCTAAATAACAATTATATATATATATATATATATCTCTAAACGGTCTTGTTTAGTTTCAAATTGAAATAATAACTATAAAATCATGGACCAACCTATTAAAAGCCAAGACCAAATGAGGTATTGAGAAAATCAAACTAAACATTACAAATTGGTCTAAATAGAACAATTTGCAATTTTTCAAAATTTTTTTTTTTGTTCAGCCCTACACCAAACATGGGCATTACTTCAATACCACATTAAGGTGTTTAAGGTTTGCTTTTTTTGGTAATTTTTTTGTTAGTTTATTTTCATCTTTAGTGATTTTTTTTCCTTCAAAAAACTCTAGGCTTCTAGATTTTGTTGGATAAGATGAACGAAAAATTAAAAAGTTCAGAAAAGTCAAAAATAAATAAAAAATGGGCAAATTACATTAACGGTTCCTGTAGCTTGGGACTTGTGTCACTTTGATCCCTGAGTTTTCAATTGTAACACATTTGACCTTGAACTTTGAATCTTATTCCAAATAAGAACAATTGAATATACCATTACTCAATTTCAAGGGCAAAGTCGTTAATTTTATAAAATATAAACTAATTTGACAAAAATAAATGTCAAAAAAATATTTTTGATTTTTTTAAAATTATTTCTACCTACCAAAGATAAAATTATGTAAAATTGATAAATCTTTTACACATTTATTTATTTTACCAAATTAATTTTTATTATGTGTTCAGATGATGATCATGTAATGGGTGGTTGTTTTTATTTTCATTAAATTAGTTTCTATTTTTTCAAAAGTCAAATATGGCGACAACTTTGATATCATTATTAAACCAATCCATTAAATCAAAAAATCCAAAACTAAAAAATTTCATATATTAAATATATTGATTGCACATTAAAAGCTTAACAACCACCCATTACATGATCATCATTTAAACACATAATAAAAATTAATTTGATAAATAAATAAATAAATAAATATATGTGTAAAAGATTTATCAATTTTACATGATTTTATCTTTGGTGGGTAGAAATAATTTTTAAAAATTCAAAAATATTTTTTTGACATTTATTTTTGTCAAACTAGTGTATATTTTATCAAATTGATGACTTTGTTCTAGAAATTGAGTAATTGTATCTTCAATTGTCCTTATTTGAAACAAGATTTAAAATTTGTATAGGTCAAATGTGTTACAATTGAAAAGTTAAGAACCAAAGTGACACGAGCCCCAAACTATAGGGATTGTTAGTGTAATTCGCCCATAAAAAAAAGTGAACTTTTTTGGATTATTTTTGGCTTTTTTCAATTTTTTTATAGATTTTATTTTATTTTTTTTACTTTTTTAATTTGTGTACATAAAGTGGATTCAATTAAAAAAAATTGATGTAATTTAAAGAAAAAAAAAATCACTAAAACCAAATAAAAAAAAAGAAAAAAAAAGTGCTTATTTGGAACATCCCAAACAGCCTACAAAAAATAAAATCCCTAATTGTGTTTGGTTTGGTTTTGAAATCAATTTTAAATGATAAATTTTTAAAAAAAGTTTTCAAAATTTAAAAATTTATTTGGTTATATATTTTGAAAATAATTTTGTAATTTTGTAGTTGGGGTTTTGCAATTTAGAGTTTTGTAGTTTGGAATAATATGTAGTTTTTTGGGAGAATTATCTATCAGTGGAATCAGGAAAAAGAATTTACCAAAAAGTGAAAAAGTTTATAATTTTGATTATTAATATTTATAATGTTTATCATCTTTTTGTAATATATATTTGTTATAACCTCACTGATGTGTTTTTTTGTTATTGACTAGATAGTGTGAGTGAAAAAATAATTGATTAATGTGCAGAATAAAAGAGAATGAGAGAGGAGATAGAAAAGTGATTAAAAATAATTTTAAAAAAAAATTATAAACCGAACAAATTTTAGGTTTTAAGTTCTTAAAAATTGATTTGAAAACTAGGCCTAATCACAGAGGGGTAGCCTCTCAGACTAGGCCCTAAGGAGTCGAGGCTCCAGAGGTCACCCAGTGCTATATAGCATGGCCACTCAATCATGTCGCGATAAGTTGTGGACTCACACATAGGTCGGGGTTTGAATCCACACTGTTGACACTAGGTATGGTTTGCCCAGGCCTAAAAGGTTCGTCCTACCAACCGTATGTGTTGTCACTCGGATAACTAACTCTTAAAAATCTTACGATCTTACCAAGTTGCTACAACCCATAGATTTGATTTGAAAACTAAGGCAAACACAAGAGTTTGGATCCTCTCCAATAAGCTCTCTCCAGTGTTTCCTTCGAGGGACGGTCTAGATTGAGCCACGTCACCCACTTAACAATTGATAGATCAGATTGCTTCAATAAAAAAATAAAATTCAAAATTTCCACAAAACAGAGTCCTTCTTTTCTCTACTTAGGAACTCAAACTCCATGAAGAGAGAGGGAAATAACAGAGAAGAGAAAGACAACGACCACTGCCACGTACAGCGGCGCAGGCGCAGGCAGCCATACCCCAATCCTTGAGACCGAGAAGGATTTCCATGGAAGCTGTGGGGATATATTTTCTGAATACCAACACGTGGCATGGTGACGCCGACGTGTCAGCCGAGGTGCCACGTGCCTTGGTAGTTAAGCCGAGGTAATCTCGGAGAAGCCGAGGTCATCTCCAATAATATCGGAATCCGAGATAAGGGGCAAGAGTCCTAAGGCACAAAGGGGACTGAATCAAGATAAGGATAAAACTCTCAAGGAGTTTATCTTTATCACTTAAAAGAGTCCAGAGTAAACAGTGAATTAGAGTTCATAGAAGTCATACTTCTAGTGGGACTTGGATTGAGTATATTATAAAAGAGAGGCACCCCCGTGGGTCTAAGGTATGCAATTTATGCTTTGAGTATTCAGTTTAGTACTTGATTATCTTTGAGAGATATACTGACTTGATCGTCGGAGTGCCCCCGGGTGGAAGAACCACCGCCGGAGCTTTTTTCTTTCTGTTTCAGGTTACTTAAGCCATCTATTCTGCTTGTGCTCTCCAGCTGATCACTAAACGGGTAGTGTGGTCAGATTTTCACCCACACAGAAGCAATAAGAAACTTCACATGGAAGCATATTCAATTGGTAAGATCCATTTGGGTTCATTTGGAATGTGGATTGACTTTTTAGCTATTTTAACCTGTGGTTAAAAAGTCTTGTTTGGGATAGGTTTTTTGGTTTTTTAAACTTTTGTGAGAGAAAAAATGAAATAATTATAATTTGGATGTGATGTTTTGGCTTAATGGGCTAAAAAGTCTATTTCGTCATCTTGTGGGTAAAATAACCAAAAAAGTCTGGCATGCCAACGAAAGCTTTGTATTCACCAGACTTGAAGAAAACCAGATATTATATCTTCCTCATTTTCCTTACTCTAACATACCAGTAGAAAGTTTTTAGAACAAGTAAAGATTAATCTTTCTTCTCTTCGCTGTCAACTTATTATCTTCTAAAAATTATATAAATTGTTGTAATTTTGACTCACATGGTCGAGAAGAGTGATAGTTTTTCTGCAAAACTGGGTAAAAATTCATCAACTGATCGTCCACCCAGTCAACAGACCGGTCAACCACCAAGGAAAAATTTGATTTTTTTTTTTTTTTCCGTATTGAAACAATCTAAGCCACCTATTGTTGGGTGGGGGGATGTGAGCCAATCTAAGTCGTCCCCCAAAAAAACACTAAAGACATGTACTTGAGAGAATTTGAACTCCAAACAATTTTAGTTGCCTATTGTTAAGTGGGAGATGTGGGCCTCGGAGACATAGGCACTTGGAGGATCCGAACTCCAAACAAATATGCATTTTTGGAATAAGAATCTTTCGTCTTCAAATATTTATGTCCTTGTGACCCAAATCACTCACAATTATGAAATTATATAAGAATTTTAAAATTTAAAAATCTCAAGACATTTCAACGAATTATAAGTTACTCCCTCCGTCCCAAAATAATGGTCCCTTTTGGAGAATCCAACTTTTTTTGGTAGTACAATTATTGTACTTTTAAAAAGTTGATTTTCCAAAATTACCCTTTGATAGTACACTTTTTTGAGAATATCAATGTCATAATTGTACTTTTTATATTATTTATGAATTTAAAAGAAGGGCAAAATGGAAAATTTATATTATTTTTGTAGACTAATATTTTGGGACAATGAAAAATGGAATAAGGGACTAATATTATGGGACGGAGGGAGTATTTAAGACCAAGTGGATAGGAATATTTGGGGAGAGGAATCCTTGGCCCCATTTTTGTTAAGCCTACTCTAAACCCTCTGAGAAACGCTGATAGAACATATACGTCATCACGATCGTATAAAAACCCTAAAACCCTTAATTTCAGAGAGAGAGAGAAAGAGAGAAAGGGGATAGAGATATCTAAACCTAGAGTGAGGTAAGAGCAATGGAGGGAGGTGGGAGTGACAATATACTAGTCCCAGAATCAGTAATAGAGGTAGTGAAGAGAATATCTTCTAACATGGAAGAATTCAGAACCCATTTCGTCGACTTCTTGTCTCTCTGCGACCCTCAAGTTCTCTCTGAAATGCTTCCTTTACAACGTGCTCAGTCTCTCCTCTTGCTCGCCAAGGCCACTACAACTCTCTTCACCTGTAAATTCTTCCTCTCCGTTACTCCATTTTTCTGTTGCTATTTTTGGTTTTAATTTCATTTTTTTTCTTTATTTTCTTCAAATCTGAATCTGAATTTGAATTGGACTTGGTTTCAGTGAAATTGAGGTGCAGTGGTGTTTGCCCAGATGACCACCCTGTGAAATCAGAGCTTGTATGTTTTTCTATCTGTTCTTTTCGTTTTCTTTTTTTAATTTTTGCCTTTAATCAAATGGGCTTCTATTAATTGAGGGTTTGATAAAAGTTTCCCTCTTTCCTTGATTTGTTCAGAAAATTTGGCCTGCTGTGTATTGTTTTCAATATTTTTTTTTGTTTTGAATTTGATCAATTAATTCAAGGGCTTTTAGTTTGTGTTTTCTGTATATGTAGGAGAGATTAAGGTTGTATCAAGAAAAACTACAACGGTTCATTGATTTGAGTAAAGGTACTCTTCCTTCCCTTAACCTTCTTACAAAAGGAAAAAAAGAAATGAAAATTTGAATCTGGTTTATGATATAATTTTCATTTTCCAAAATTTTCTTAGACTAAACAAACAATAGTAAAGTGGTTCTAGGCCCATTTTCTCGGACTTCTTTCCCCTTAGATTTTAGCCAATGAAAAATTTAGGCTGCAACATTTTATTTCTTGCATCTTCTTAGCAACATGTGGTCCTTACCTTGAATTTGTATATTCAATGACATGGCATTGGCAATGACATTTTTGGAATCATCTGGGCAATAGTTAGCCATCTAGTTATATATCAAAGTACAAATAGGCCACATCATTTGAAAGGAAGAATTTTAGGTTTATGGCATTTGTACGTTTATTTGGAATTCAATTTCATTCATAATTTTTTAATTGGCTTATTGTTACTTTGATTTATAAGTTTGGTTGATAGTTATCATTTTCCTAACATCGATTACAAATTCTCTATTTGTCCGTGAAGCGCCGCTAAGACCTTCAACTACCTTGAATTACCAGGCAGCAACACGTTTTATTGAGCATTCATTGCCCGATCTTACTTCAGGTAGCTGATCAATCAATTTCTTGTCAGTGGCAGCTTTCTTTATGTTTTGATCCTGTTTGAAAGATTTTTATTTTTGCAGAGCAGAGGCAAAGTATGAGGGATATCAGTAGAGGAGAGGGCCCAAAGATTAAGTATGTGGAGAGAAGTGTCCACAAGAAGAGAAAATGTCAGTCATCTGGGCAACAATCTGTCCGTACTGCTACCCAGGAATTTCTTGAGAAAGCAGCCCGTGAGCTTCTTGGTGATAATAAAAATGGTTTTAAGGGACCTCTGCAGCCTGAGGATTTAGATGAAGATGACCTATCCATGGATTGACACTGGTACTTTTATATTTATATTCACATTTTTAAAATTTTTTTTTTTTGTTCTTTTACCAACTTGCAATTCTTTCTACCAAAAGGTTTGAAAATCGGTTAATTGGTTGGTGCTCTTGGCACAATCTCCAGTGAAGGGTCTTGTATGGTTGTATTCATCTTGATTTATATGTGAACTGTATTGATTCTTATTGACAATGTAGTGGCTAAGTCTTTATCTTAGGTGGAGTAACCATGCTTGACATTCATTGGGTTTATATCTTTTCTAGTTAAGGTGAGCTTTTGTACCTGGATTCAAATTTGCAAATTTTGAAGGGGTATTTTATTGGATTAGTACATTAAATTTTCGGAAGATAGATAACAGCTGGAATAAAGTAGAAACAAGATATTCTATGATTACATAGAACCGAGGAATGAGACCATCTTGTGCTCATTCTAAGTTTCTTACAATCTCCCCTCTAATTTAGTGAGTTGGAGTGCTGGATGTTGTGTATAGAAAAGTTTTGTTATGCAAAATCCTGAGCATACATCACTGATTAATAGTGAATTGAACCTATTGAAGGGGATGAGGGCTTGCGCATTTGGCCCTTCACTTCTTTGCACCCGTACTTGCCATGCACTGAATTGCTGAATTGGAATACTGCATGGCCATGGATCACAATTTTATTTCAATGTGTTGTTTTGATTAATGTGAAAACAAAGACATTTCGGAAATGTATACGAAGCATTTCAAATTTTCAAGGGACAAAAGAATCTGAAAATACATTAATTATTTGGAAACATAATTTGGAACCTATCTAAACTAAACATATAAAAGCCTAACTATTGATTAATCAAACCCAACCAAGCCAAACCAATCCAAATCAAACCAAGCCTTAAGTCCCATCAAATGGGGTCGGCTACATGAATTCTTCTTCTCCATGCGGCCCTATCAAAGGTCATTTCATTAGTTAAATTAAGTAGATCCATATCTCTATTTACAATGCTAACCAACGTTAATGTAGGCCTACCCCGTCCCCTACCACTTCCATCTACCGTTACAGTATCGCATTTCTTCACTACTGCCTCTGTTGGTCTCCGTTGAATATGACCAAACCATCTTAATCGATTCTCTCTCAACTTATCTTCTATCGGTGCTATTCCTACCCATTCCCGAATACATTCATTCATAATTCTGTTTTGACTAGTCTTGCCACACATCCACCTTAGCATTCTTATCTCAGCCACACTCATCTTATCTACATGTTGTTTCTTGGTTACCCAACACTCCGTCCAATACAACATCGCCATTCTAATAGCTGTTCTATAAAACTTACCTTTAAGTCTAGTGGGTATTCGTTTATCACACAGTACCCCAGACGCACTTCTCCACTTACACCATCCCGCCTTAATCCTATGGGCCACATTCGCATCAATCTCCCCTGCTGTTGTGATAATCGACCCTAAATAACAAAAATGTTCACTCTTAGGCAGTTTTTGGTTCTCAATCTGCACTTCTCCTCTGCTTTCATTGTTATTGTTATTAAATTTACACTCATGTATTTTGTCTTAGTTCTGCTTATCCGGAATCCTTTAAATTCAAGAGTTTTTCTCCAAATTTTCAATTTTATATTAACCCCTTCTCTAATCTCATCCACTAGCATTATATCGTCTGCAAAAAGTGTACACGCACGTCATCCTAGATATTTCTCGTCAACTCATCCATAACTAAAGCAAAAAGATAAGGACTTAAGGTAGATCCTTGGTGTAACCCTACAGTGATAGGAAATTCATTTGTCTCTCCAGCAGGCGATCTAATAGTGGTTACCACCCCTTCATACATGTCCCTAATCACATCAATGTTCTTTTGTCACCTTTTTCTTCGCTAACACCCACTATATTATATCTTGGGGCACTCTATTATATGCTTTCTCAAGGTCGATTAAAACCATATGAATGTCTCTTTTATTTTCTTTATACTTTTCTATTACTCTCCTCAAAAGATAGATCGCTTCCATTGTTGACCTGCCAGGCATAAATTTAAATTGATTCTCTGACACCTTTGTTATATTTCGCAATCGGCGTTCTATCACCCTCTCACACACTTTCATTATATGACACATTAGCTTGATTTCTCTATAGTTATTGCAATTCTGGACATCTCTTTTATTCTTATAGATTGGCACTAAAATACTCTTCCTCCACTCATTTGGCATATTCCTAGTCAACAAAATTTTGCTAAACACCTAGTCAACCAAGCAATCCCTTTTTTACCCAAACACTTCCAAGCTTCAATAGGAATATCATCTGGTCCTAAAGTCTTATTTGATTTCATCTTCTTAAGTGCAATCTCCACTTCAAAGTTCCTAATCCTACGATAG